TTTATTAATCCGAAAATATGTGCTTGCCTGTGTGCGTATGTGCAATTGCGTGTGCGTGTATATGTATGTGCGTGCGCGTGTGTGCGTGTGTGGTCTGTTTGTGTGTAAAAATGGTAGGGTTTTGCTTATTGCAAATGTTACATATGTACATCTTAGATAGAACATGTAGATTGTAGATTATAAATTATAATGTGTTGACTATATCAAGTTAAATCTCATACGTGTTAAGCAATAGATGTCATGAGTGTCGCTATTTATTTATATTATTATACTTAGTTGATTTATTGTTTCGTTTATGCCATTCAGTGTAATGGTTTTTCTGGTAAAACAGATTTATCACTGTCAGGCAATATTAGCTGTGGCTATATTCACATTGCAAGTGCAATAATTTTGAGCATATTTTGCCGACATTTCCCAAATAAATCTTGTCCCTGCCCATTTCCCAATCACTTGGGTATAATTAGTATATTTATTATGTACAATTAGTATATGAACGTAGCCATCGCAACTCGACATGACCAGCGATGGAAACCGTGACGTTAGTCGTGGGTTCGAATCGACCCACTAAAAATAATTGTACTATTATAACATATCTTGAATATCTTGATATCAATCTAATTAATATAATTAAACACCGTCATTATGCCTGCAGACTACGAAGAGAGTTACAGTCGTGATACCAAAAGATAATGGGTACGTGAACCATTAAAAATAGAAGTAAATCTATACATATAATAAAATTGTAACTGAGTCGAATCTGTACATTAAATATTTTTTGGAAAATCTAATTGAAATAGACATTATTATCGATACAGAGTCCGAATCTATAGTTTTTAGAATTTTTGTCTGTCTGTCTGTCTGTCTGTTACCGCATCACGAGAAAACCACTGGACAGATTTTGATGAAATTTGGTATGATGATAACTGGTTATCCGGGTCAACATATAAGACACTTTTTACCGCGGGAAAATATCTCATTTCTGAGAAAAAATACAAAAACTGCATTGTAAGAGTATACTAATATGTAAAACCTAAGAATTTGGTTTTTGGTCATCTGAATGCGGGCGGAGCCGCGGGCAATGCTAGTAAATTAAGTATATATCGTCACTATCGCGTGTTTAGATAAACAGATGTTTTACTTGTGGCTTGTACTTAGTTGTCATCTCATTACGAATCAGTTAACTGAGTACGTGGTGGCACAATTGCAAGACAATCTACGTCGCGAATTTATTGTTGTTTACTTAACCACAGAAATTGTTACATTTGCTATATGTATATTGATAGATTTATATAATAAGTGAAGTCTGAAATACAATATATAAAAATCAATGTTTGTTGGTTTGTTCGTATATCATTTAATTAGCTGCTTTTCTGTTCATTCGATTGCGATAAAACTTGCGTGAAGGTTATAGGTATTAATACTACAATTGCCTTACAGCAGATGGCGCAAGTATCGTACCGGCAAATGTATTTGGAAGAGCATTTTTTGTTAAAAAATACAGTTTTCATACGCTTACGTGGCTAACGCTGATTAAACCTCAGAGATATGTAGGGTCCGGGGATACTAATAGAAGCGTTTAGAACACTATTGACTATTTATTCCTTTAAAATATTACAAAACAATGTTTACGCGTCTCGTCGTGTCGTCATTATGGCACAACATTTTTCTTTTTCTTTTTATTCATCTATTTCTTTCCATTCCATTCTTAAAATTCTAACATACGTCTCCTTTTATTCTTAAAATATTATTTCATGCATACTCATCTTGTATATCCCACATGTATATAAAAACAATGCACTAGAAAATTGTAGGTCTTAAAAAGGCCTAGGTATAAAAAAGTCTGCGATAGCAAGTGTGTATATCTCCTAAGGTACACTCGCAATATTATATATTTACATTTAAAACGTACCAAGGGACGGACCCGAGAGAAGTGACAGTAAGTCGCTAGTATAGATATAAATATAACTATAGATCTGATATTTTTTAATAAATTTTATATTTACTATATTTTTACTAAGGTATTAAACATAAACAACAAGTATGTATGTATGTACATTGTACAACAACTGTAACCAAGACTTTGTAACTCTATAAAACACACTGAATATATCCACGTTTTACATTCAGGGCGAGAATTTAACTAGCAATATTAGTCAAACGTTTCACTGACCTTTGTGCTAGACGACTTTTCTAGGTTTTTTTTTACATTAACGCACAGCACCATCTAGTTCCATGATAAGCTACGAGGCTTGTGTTATGGATACCGGATAGGTGATACACTACACATATATAACTTTAAATACATACATATTATAAATAGAAACACCCATGATTGGAGTACAAACATTCGTGCCCATCACACAAATGAATGCCCCCAACGGGACTCGAACCCGCGACAGCTGGCACAGCAAGTAGGGTCACTACAAACTGAGCCAAATATGTCGTCGAAAAAAAATACGGAGTTTTGTATAGAAATTTTAAGGTATATCAATTATTACAAAGTGTAGTTTATTGAATTAAAGTATTATGATATCAGATGGAATGAGGAAAACCAATATTGTACTTAGTGCATAAATAAACAAAGTGGGCACGACGTGCGGCCGTATGTGATGAACAATTAGCAAACGCGTTTATCTGATCTACGCTGTTTACGCGACTGCACACGTTACTTTGCTTTTATAAAGAATAATATATTTAATTGACTGGTTTGGTTTTTTATTATAACTAGGAACCACAAATTAAAAGCAGTTGTTAAAATTTTATTTTCATATATTCACGGGCCTCCTCTCAATGCAAGAGGGATCAGGTCATAGTCCACCACGCTGGCCAAGTGCGGGTTGGCGGACTTCACATGTCTTTCGAAAACTTGCTAGGTTTTCTCACACATGCAGGTTTCCTAACGATGTTTTCCTTCACCGTGAGACAAGTAGTAATCATGTTGAAAGTGATTCGCGTATGAAAATTTCAGAGGTTCGAGAACCGGTATTTGAACCCACTTCACTTGGTATCCCAAGCAAGCGCGTTACCACTGGGCTACCACTGCCTTCTAGGTATAGGTATCTTAAAATTACCAAAATCATTACATAAGAGGAAAATATTTATATCTATTGCGTATACAATAAATTGTGTTCTTTGAAAAGGTTTTCTTTGCTGTAGCAATATACGAGTTTTTATTAAGAAATAAAAGGCGCTGATACATTTTCTCCCATAAATCATTTTCAGGCGACTTATTTTAAGCAGCATTTGAACAGAATGACTTCACAAATATTACAGACTCTCTTAAAATTTTCAGTATATCGATATTTTACTATAACACATTACGTGATATTGTGTTGTCATTTCAGTTATAGTTTTTGCAAATATGTTGGCTTGATTAAAAATCTAAATATATGCTGAAACGTTTCATATGCTATGTTCTTCGGAACTACGTGACATAGAATGATGTTTCAATTATTTAGTTAGAATTCGAAGTGTCGTAATAATAATAAATATTTAAGAATATATGTATTAACTAGCATTGCCTGCGGCTCCGCCCGCGTTCAGATAACCAAAAACCAAATTTTTAGGTTTTACATATTAGTATATTTTTTCTCAGATATGAGACATTTTCCCGCGGTAAAAAGTATCCTATATGTTGACCCGGATAACCAACTATCACCATATCAAATTTCATCAAAATCCCTCTCGTGGTTTTTCTGTGATGCTGTAACAGACAGAGAGATAGACAGACAGACAAAAATTCTAAAAACTATAGATTCGGCCTCTGTATCAATAATAATGTCTATTTCAATAAGATTCTCCAAAAAATTATTTAATGTACAGATTCGGCTTAGTTACAATTTTATTATATGTATAGATGTAGAGAAGCATTCGAAAATAATTGTAGTCATGTTTTTATTTAGTTGACTATACGAAATATATTATAGGTTTGGTTTTCGTAGTGTCGTTGACCCAACTAACCCATTTCTAGTTCAGCGATCTTCATGAAAGTCTGAATAGATGAATATAAAAGACTAACGTGGCTTCCGTCCATGTCATACTTACTATTTACTATGTGGTGCTTGAGTTTTACGTCGCTTGCTTTGATGTCAAATCGTAAATTTTTTTATTAAGCACTATAGAAAATGAAGTTATATTTCTAAATGTTTGGTTTTATTTTATAGTTGGTTGAGTCGTAAATAATATTAAGTTCATTTTGATACGTAATGCGGATGGCAGAAGTAACAAATTGAAATATGGCAGTGATTTTCAGGGTTCCGTAGCTAAAAGTCTAAAACGGAACTCTTATTTTATTGAACTATTTAATATATTAGGTATACCTATACTAGTGACTTATCATCACTTCGCTCGGGCGCTTTCCCTAAGCTTGAATGGCTTAGGAACGTATAAAAGGCAAAATTACAAAGAAAAATTATTCTTCTTGAGATAGGAACATTTGCAGGCGTATACAGAATAACCAACCAGAGTTTCATCACAATCGGATCAATGGTTTAGAAATATAAAGAGAACAAACATACGAACATTCATTTTTATTTATATAGAAAATTGAAATAAATCAGCTGATAATTTTTATTGAACTATTTAAATTATAATGTTTTAATTAAAATTTAAATCATTATAAAATTACAAAATAATGTCTTCTATGAATAATTGCTTACTACATTGGTGATTGAGTATTTTTTAATTACCTGCTGTAGGTAGATGCAAAAGTATATATATTGTCAATATTTCTTTAACGCAACTATGGTTTTGATTCAACCTAATTAGTTATTATATAAGGGAGCTTTATTTGGTTATAAAATATGAAGTTAAAAAATACAGACCTTGTCTCTCTTGTGACCTGTGACCATGAGTGCTGTAGAGCATTAGAACCATCAGAAACCAAAAATCAAAATAAGTCCCAGAAAGAATACAATAAGATAGTTTTATTTAAAATGTCAAATATTCGCGTGAATCTAAGAAAGAATTATGAAAACACTCATCCTTTTATTTGTCCACAGTGTATGAAGGCGTACGTTGAGTTCGAAGTATGTAACGGCGCCTACGAGGTGTCGTGCCCGGACGACAGGTGCTCGGCCGGCGCAGCGCTCTCCTTGGACGAGATATCGGCCCTTGTAGCGCCCTCGGTCATGGAAAAACATCTCAAGTTCAGACTTAATCATGGTGATTTCATGTTATAAGCAGATAAATACACTAGTTAATAATCCAAACTAATAAAAATGATCAAAATCGGTCAGGGTCTTCCTAACCGATTTGGTCACAGCGGCCCATTTCACTGGGATTAATCATATGTGTAAAAGACAACACAAGTACACTATTTATTCCTGTACTCTAATACTTCGATGGGGCGACAATTTGAATCACCGGTGAGAGATTAGGTGCAGGACTGACGGCACAAGGGTGTCCAACACCGCTAACTTCCCAACTCCGGGCGGTTACTGATAATAATTTAATTTAAAAAAACCTTATTAACTAAACTTAGCTCGATACCGGACTTGAACCCAGGACCTCCGGATCTACAATCATACATGCTATTCACTACGAGAACATTGTGGCGTGATTGTAATCACGGTTTTGATTCCCGCACAGATTAATTATTCTATACACGTATAATATCTATATAAATATAAAAATATAAAATATTATACATATAATAACATATAATATATATTTTTTATACACATCAAAAAGAAAACGAGTTTTTTTCCAAAGTAATATCTCTTTGATATTATCAAAGAAAATGTACATGTTTATTTTTGTTTCTTAAGCGATGTTCTATCAAACACTTTGCTTTATCGTTTTTGTATATCGTTCGTGCTATGTCAAATATTTACTCTACTTTAACTCTACATGCATAATCAATTTTAAATATTAAAGCAGTCAACTACCGAACGCTGCCCAAACCTATTTTAATATTCTATTTGAAATTTCATTTATTCAGGAACTTTTTCTACCTTCGTCGTTACATCAGCAAAACACAATATGGAAGTTGCGATATATTAGTACAACAAACACGACCGGAAAAAAAACTATAGCTCACTTAAATTGTATTATATATCTACCTATGTTATGGAAGAACAATAATAATAATAAATTATATTAATATTTTAATTATTACGGATATTATAAAAGTTGATTTGTATCGTCCTCTACGCCTGAACTAATTTAGATGAAACTACTTATATATTATATTCTTCTTTTGATCCCAGTACTAGAAGTGAATTCCCGTGGGATAAATAGAATAGAATAAATATAGTGTAGATATCTATTTCAATAACCATTAATGAAATAGATATCGTATAAATTGCACATGATTAAAATTAAGCATTAGAATTTGGGAGAATTTTCCAAAAGCATAAATTGCCCCGAAAATTCGGTCGGTAAACCGTAGTTAGTGAAACCGTTGCATGTAGAGGGGTCATTAGCTTAAAGTCACACCACCAAGCCTTTGTTGTGCCAAATTGTTAATGCGATAGACTGTTAGCGATTACATTATAATTATATATTAATGTATTAGTGTTTTAAGTGAATGGATCCAATGCAATTAATTTAAGAATATTTATAAATAATTTTAAAGTGTAAAAATTGTTATTGAAGGAAACTATGGGATAAAGAAAGTTGCAAAATTAGGTAAATGGTTTAATGTAGGTCGCAATTACCTTTTTTTATGTCTACTTTAAACGGAATATTCATAAAAATAATTTAAAGCTGTTATTTTTCTGTACGTATATACAGAAAAACAAGTTATAATAAAAACATTTTATGCTCTTTATATATATATGACTAGCGACTCACCCTCGGGCTCGTCCGTAGGTTCGTTTTATATATACATACATAGGTATGATATGAGTTGTTGTGGGTTGTATTATAACGTGTTTTCCCGTGGGAATGAGATAATTTCCCGCGGTAAAAAGTAGCCTACGTCACTCTCCAGCTCTATTACTTTCTCCACATAAGATCGACGCGAAAATGGACAGACAAAGAAACAAACACACTTTCGCATTTATAATATTAGTATTGATATTAGAGTTAAGTAAATGTAATATTTCATAGTAGAGGTATAAGTTTCGTACATGGTAAGATTTCGGTGAAAGATTATATAGAAAGAAGGGATTATCGGAGCAAAGTCTGGGATATTGGAGTATCTAATGTAACTACTCTTACAGACGCGACGGGGCGATATCAAATATTTATAGTTTGAGGTTCACTCAGGGTCACCTTCAGGAAATTCGTTATTGTCTTTCAGAAATCCCAACATACCAGTAAAATTTTAATTTAAACTAATGTAATAAATACTTTTTTAGATTTAGGCAAACATATGACATTTTAAATAAAACTATTTTTCTATTTCTTCCGAATTATTGTATAATTTTGTGCGTATATTCTGTCTGTAATAACTATTAGTCCGGTCAAATTCAATCAAATAACAAAAACTCCGACAGAGCTGAATTTTGGTAGAAACCAGTAGAAATAAAGTGCCAAAAGTCGCCATAGAAATTTATTATATGTATAAATATTAAACTAATGTATTTAAGTTTCTTGCATCGTCTTTGTAATTCTATTAAATATTATAAATCATAAAGTTCTGGTCAATACCAGAAAGAAATGACTGGAATTTTGAATTCAAAGGATATATCATGATTATTCAAACTTTAGTTAGTTAGTGATAAACTTAAAGTTTACTATTCTCTGTCAAAGGTAACTTGCTTTAGTTAAATAATGGAATTACGACTTTGAAAAGCAGTGACTTACCGTGTTTCAAGTCAAAGGAAGAATAAAGGGCAAAGTTTCCGACATATTTGACGGAGGTAGCTTTAAGTATAAATATATAAAAAATATGTATAGTATAGATTTTTAATATATTTATAATATATTTTTTATACATTTTGACATTTATTTCTTTAATATATTTTTTTCATGGGGGTATTCTCACGATAAAATAGTGAAGGCATTATTAATTCGATTTTGTCTTTTTAGATTATCAGTATGGATGAATCTGTTTGTATCATCTGCAATAAGGCAGATGATAAGCAAGTGTATGAAATAAAAAAGGTTTTTTGTTTTTTCCATTTTCGCAGAAGATTTACTATAGTAACATATATATTTTTTTCACCATCGGAAAGTAGAGATTTCAACGAACAGAAAACACACCAACTTTTTGAAAAAAGCTGATATTTTGACGGGTGTATTTTCGATTGAAAGTTAGGGTGCTTTTTCGATATTAATTCAAAATAAGGTGAAAAAATAAATATTTTTAATCAAATAAATTACAGCGTATTTGGGACATAAAAAGGTAAGTTTTCACCAAATAACGTTAAAACAAAAACATTTTTGTAAAAGATAAAAATAAAAAACCAAAGACTTGGTTTTTTGAATTTTTCACATAAATTTTGAGGTTATGTGAAAAAAGTGTAAATACAAAAGTTTTTAATCTTTTTATTACCTACAACTTTGCCATTTGATTTTTTTCGATAGGACTTTTAGTTTTGCCGGAAATCGAGAAAAACCTCAGATCGCCCGTAAATTATTTTTCCTTTCGTTTTTATAATATTCCCCTCCTTTACTAACGGGTTGCATCCTACTATTATTTTTTTTCACTTTTTATTATTTTTAAAGGCTTCTACCCTGGTCTATAAACAATTTATTTTAAAGAGTAATTTATTGTTGATTTTTTTAAAAACCGCTTGACCAATTTCGATAAAATTTATATGGGACCACCTAGGAAGTATACCCTTTGAAACTAAAAAGAATTTTTCCAAATCGGTACAGGCGTCTTTGAGTAATCGGTGAACATACATACAAAAAAAAGATTCGAATATCGAAGAATCGACGTATTGAGAACCTCCTCCTTTTTGGAAATCGGTTAAATATTAAATAAAATTCAAATTGTTCCAAGCTTAATAAATAATCTTATACACACTATATATCAACTTGCTTAGGTTACAAATGAAGGGTATGGATATGTGGGCGGTTAGTAGCTCGTGGCACTCGAGCGGCACGCGAAAAAATAATATTTACCCCTGCCATGCTAACGAAAGTATTTCCCGTAAAATATTTGCTATGCCATATGGAGTGACTTACATTTCTCTTTCTAGACGTTACTATTTACCTGAAGGTTCATTTACACTATAACATAAAAAGGCTGCTAATTATGGATGCAAATTTTTTAAATAAAATTGAATTCTGACCTTGTGTACAAGTCTTTTCAAACAATTTTTGCCAAGAATTAATAAATCCATCGTCTTGTTTATATTAGTTCATTGTTACAATTTTAACTATATTACAGCATTTAAATTCATTAAATAATACCTAATTATGTATATTCACCCCTTTTTGTCGTCCTACTGCTGGGCACGGACCTCCCTTCAATACGAGGGGAATCAGGCCATAGTCCACCACGCTGGCCAAGTGCGGGTTTGCGGACTTCACATGTCTTTCGAAAACTTGTTAGGTTATATCAGACATGCAGGTTTTCTCACGATGTTTTCCTTCACCGTAAGACAAGTGGTAATCATGATGAAAATGATTCGCACATGAAAATAACAGAGTTGTGAGACCCGGTATTTGAATCCGCTTCACTCGGTTGCCCAAGCGAGTGCGTTACCACTGGGCTACCACTGTCTCTGAAATAATAATATTATTGTATAATGTATATTCATTCATCTTCTAATAAACTGGAACCATGTAAATTAGCCTTAAATCAATTAAGTTTTAAAATAGGCTGCTATAATGAAGGGCTTTTTAAATGAAAACGAAATTCATGCATTGTTTCACATTTCCAGAACAATACCCTCGTATCTAATTACATTACTTGTAACTTAATGATGAAGATTTTGAAGACTTAATTAGTGAAATGAAGGAACAGTACTAAATTACGTATATCTGAAACACAGTACCCTTATATAGTAGATACTTTACCGAGCCATTTCAAAATGTACATATAATTATATAGTATATAACATAATAACTGAGCAGCAGAGCTGAACTTTGAATGCGGCAGTAATTTCACTCTCCTCCATAGAAATTCACGGCGACGCTATGCCGTCGTTGCTTTAGGGATAAAGCCCACGATCATTTAATACCTTGAATTATTACTTTTGAAACTGCAAAACGTAGAACATTTCAACTAAAATTTAGTGCATCCAAGCTCGATGCTGTTTTGG